TCGTGGCAGGATGAAAGCAATTCCTAGTAAAGCTACCTTTTGAAATTGACTAATGGTGCATTTGTATTATTATTATTATTATTATTATTATTATTATTAAGTTGGAAGGGACTTTGGAGGTCATCTAATCCAACCCCCTGCTCAGGCAGGAAACCGTATACCATTTCAGACAAATGGCTGTCCAGTCTCTTCTTTAAAACTTCCAGTATTGGAGCATTCACAACTTCTGGAGGCAGGTTGTTCCACTGATTAATTGTTCTAACTGTCAATAAATTTCTCCTTAGTTCTAGGTTGCTTTTCTCTTTGGTTAGTTTCCATCCATTGCTTCTTGTCCTGCATTCAGGTGCTTTGGAGAATAGCTTGACTTCCTCTTCTTTGTGGCAACCCCTGAGATATTAGAATACTGCTATCATGTCACCCCTAGTCCTTCTCTTCATTATCTTGTAGCATATTTTACATAAAAATACTTTGAAAATTTACAACATCTGGAAGTATGCAGAAGCTTTTGTTAATATTATGATATTATCCAATTAATGTTATGCATGAAAAATCAGGGTTACACTTACTACCTCAAACAGGGGAACCTATACCATCTCAGACAAGTGACTGTCTAGCCCAAACATGTCAAACACAAAGCCAGGGGCCCGGATGCAGCCCGCAAAGTGTTTTCATGTGGCCCACAAAGCCATCCTGGAAACAGTGAGGGAATGGCCCCCGCTGCCTTGGCCCTGGCCCAGTCCAGCCAGGAGCCCATGTACAATTTTGTGGTGGTCATCTATGCTGAAACGCATTCAGCCTTAGCTCCACAAGGCTGTCTGGAAACAGTGAGGAACCAGCCCCTACCACATCGGTCCTGCCCCCTGGGTGCATGCTGGGGAGGTGTCACCCTTTGTGAGGAATGAAGAAATGCACCATCACCTGGAAGTGGCCATCAAATGGCCCTGGCCTACTTCACATATCTGGCTTGATGGGATCCGGGGGAGGGGTTTTGGCAGGCAGCGGGGCACTGTCCTCACAGCGCCGAGAGGCTGAGCCAGGTGGTATGAATCTGATGAGAAGTGCAATCCTGCCTAGCCCACAGCCTGCCCAGTTTCAGCAGGCAGCAAGGTGCAAAGCTGGCGAGCTTCGCACTGCCCAGCTCAACCACTCAGCGCTGTGAGAACACCCCGCTGCCTGCCGAGACTGGGCAGGCTGGGGGCTGGGTGGTGTTGCGCTTCTTTTTGGATTCGCACCACCTGGCTCAGCCTCTCCGCGCTGTGAGGAGAATGCCTCGCTGCCTGCCAAAACCGGGCAGGCTGGGGGCTGGGCTGCATTCCACAGGTAACATTGACTCTCACGCTGCTCATGGCATCCCCTTCCCCAGAGCCCACCAAGCCAGATATATGAAGTAGATGAGGGCCATGTGCTGGCCACTTCCAGGCCATGGTGCATTTCTTCACTCTTCACGAAGGGTTACACCTCCCCAGCTGTGTTTCTTGCCTGTTTTTCTCCCTCCCTCATCTCAAATATTTTCCCACCACTCTGTACTTAGGAAGAAAAGAAGGAAGGAAGGAAGGAAGGAAGGAAGGAAGGAAGGAAGGAAGGAAGGAAGGAAGGAAGGAAGGAAGGAGAGGGAGGGTCCGAGGGAAGTCCTGCCTTAGTCCTGCCCTGCTGCCCTTTCACCATCCTCTTGCCCCCTCCTCCTGGCCTATCCTGGGGATCTCCCATCCTATTGCTAAGGAAGCTTTGGATACAAAGCTGGGCCTCTTCCCATGAAGAGGGAATGGGCTTCCCTCTGACTTTGCCCTCGTGCCCATCATGAACAACCTGGCTAAGGAGAGCAAGCACAGCAGCAGCAGCCCCAGCTGCACCCCCTTAGGGAAGTGGGGCTTGGCTTGGTGCCGTGGGTGCTTGAGGGCCAGGCGGGCATTTGACCTCTGCTGCCCAGGGATCCAGGCAGCCCACACCACCATCCAGCTTCCCCCCCACATGGCCTGAGAGGAACAGTGAGGCTCCTCCAGTGGACCATGCCTTGGCACTTGCCCTGGTCCCACCCCTTCTGTCAGAGACCCTCAGATCTGTCCCACTCCTGCCCAGGCCCCCATAGGCACCATTGACGCAAATGATGTAGAGCTGGCCACACCCACCCAGTTGGCCACACCCACCCGATACACGCCCACCCTGGCCACACCCACCCGCCCACCCGAGGGCAACCGCAATGCTGATGTGGCCCTCAATGAAATTGAGTTTGACACCCCTGGTCTAGCCTCTTTTTTAAAATCTCCAGTGATGAAGCACCCATGATTTCTGGGGGCAAGCTATTCCACTGGTTAATTGTCCTCGCTATCAGGAAGTTTCTCCTTAATTCCAGGTTGCTTCTCTCTTTGATCAGTTTCCAACCATAGTTTCTTGTCCTGCCCTCTGGTGCCTATTCATAAGAATCTAGTTAATGGTTAACAATAAAAATGGCACTAGATAAGAATTAACAGAATTCAAGAGGGGTTGAACTTAGACCATTTGTGAGAACACAGAGATTCTAGACCGATTCCTTTCTTGATTCTGCCCTTTGTCTATGCTTGTACTTCTCCAACTTCAATAACAATTATTATAAAACTACTGTAAAGAAGTTTTTGTTTTAAAAAAAGCCTTTCCAGACTAGTCTATAGTCTTGGATTCTACTGTACAAAGCTCTTACCCTAATAGTAATTAGGCGTATCGTAATACTAACCAGGCTAAGATTCCTGACCCAGGTAAGTTGCTTAGATGCTATGGCTTGTTAAAATGGTTCCATTGAATTGAGGAGAAATGTGGGCTGCGGCTGATACAGGCAATTTTCTGAATGCTATTTTTAATGATATCTGAGACATACAGAACTTTACACTGTAGATTTTGCACATAAATTTTATTTTAATTCAATATTCTCATGCTTACATTAAACAAGGCCCTTGTTTAATGCAGGCATGAACTTTGCTGTAAGCAATAAACCAAATACTACAACAATATCTGGTAGCAATACCTTTAATTGTCTACTGATAATTAGATTTACACTGTTAAATTTTATTCATTTCAGAATTTATTATCTACCTCTTCAGTACAAAAGTTATAAAATGCATTCTATAATATATGACCCACCTTATGATTTTCTCTAGGAAAAAATTCTATGGCTGAGGTGACATATATTAATTTGTTATTTAAAATATTTATATATTTCCTGTCATGTAATATTTCCACAGTAGAATACAAAATTAAAAATAAATTGAATACAGAAATCAAACAGCTAAAATATAACCATACATACATTATATATGTGGGGGAGAGAGAGAGAAAGAGAGAGGAGAAAGAGGGAGAACAAGAGCAAAGAAGTTCAATCTCTTTATCATGAACTCTTAAATACTAAAGCAAATAGCACTTTTTTAAAATGCAGCTACAGCATAACTAAGTTTGTACATCTTTATTACTAGAGAATCCTTCTAAAGGATAGACAGGACAAGATGAAAGACAGCTTTCATGGATGAGCTTTAGTCACTAGCCTCTTCTTCATTGATGAGCTTAAGAAATGAAAAATGTCATCCCAGGCAGATCTAAATAAATTGCAACCTTCTTGTGGAATGAGATGCTTTCTGAATGGACTCTCAGGACCACACACATACTGTATATACCAAAAACAGAAGATGAAGGATTTCTAAATACGTGGTTCCAAGGTAACCAGATTATTTTAAAATTGCCATTGTATACTTCCAAGATATACTGTCTTCCCAATTTCTTAGCATAGTCTTCAGCCACCAGCATTTCCTGATGGTCTCTCATCTGTCCTGAACAGGTCTAACCTGCTTAGCTTTCCTGATCTAAGCAAAGGTCAGCTGAGCAATATTATCAGTTGATCTTTTCTTGGGAGCCCATTTATACAAATCTGAAGTGGAGTTGATCTTAATACATCAACATTAGAATTTTTGAACAAATCTGAAACAATGGGACCACACACAAAAACTACATACAGAGAGTTTATTGCACACAGGTAGTCCTCGACTTACAACAGTTCATTTAGTGACCGTTCAAAGTTACAATGGACTGAAAAAAGTGGCTTATGACCATTTTTCCCAGTGATGACCTTTGCAGATCATGTGATTAAAATTCAGATGCTTGGCAACTGGTTCATATTTATGATCCTTGCTGTGTACCAAGGTCATGTAATCACCTTCTCCAACCTTCTGACAAGCAAAGTCAATGGGGAAGCCAAATTCACTTAACAACCAGGTTACTCATTTATCAACTGCAGAGATTCACTTAACAATTGAGGCAGGAAAGGTCGCAAAATGAGGCAAAAGTCACTTAACAAATGTCCTACTTAACAACAGATATTTTGGGCTCAATTGTGGTCGTACGTTGAGGACTAGCAGTATACTGTACAAAGTATTTGAGATTTACATGTAAATTTACAGCATTTACATGTTTAGACAACAAGAATCTCCTTCTTCTGCCTTTCTCTGTACCTGTAATTATTCTCTTTATTTCTAGAGTACTAGATATAAGCTAAATACCCCAGAGAATGCAGGGATAAAATCTTATTGCAAAAGCCAGCTGATTTCCCACCAAAGAAATTAGGAAGGAGTCCTCCAATGCGATCCTTATCTAATCATTAGCATTCTGCTTTGTTGCTTTCTCTGAGATAAGAGGAATCCGACCGATCGCTTATGCAAAACGAACTGCCGGGAGAAATGTTTGTCATGCAAAGGGAGCACCTGGATTTGCCCTGTTCTGCTTTGTCAATGATATCTGACCCCTCAAAGCTCTCGTCCAAATCTCTTTCGCTGTGTTGGACAGGATGACAATTTACCACGGAGGAATCTTAGGCTTCAGAAAAAGATTTAAAAACTCAAAAGATGCTGGACGCCCAATTCCTAGAATGGATCCCTGAAAGGCATCTATTACCTGCACCCCTTCTCCCCAAAACACCTGTTCTACATTCACCGCCCGAACGCCACCCTTGACCCGAAGGGGCTTCTATGTTTTCTTTCACTTACCGATCTTGGCTAAGGAAGCCAGGAGGATCCAGAGGGTGATTTCGAAGGGGATTTGCACGTGCGGGTAATCCAAGGTAAAGACGTGAAGCCTAGTCTCCTCGAAAGGGGTCTCAGCGGGCACCTGCAAGGTGCCTGCTCTGGGATTGGGATGGATGGATGGCATGACAGCCGGATCGCTCGGCTCTTTTTCCGAGGCGGAGGCGGAGGCTGCTACCACAGATTGCACAAAGGCAGCCATCAGGAGCAGCAAGAGGGCAATCCCAGGACTCCCCGGGCACCCCTGAGCAGCACCCATTGAGCGGTTGCGGGGCCGGTACTCTCCGTTCAACTGGAAAGGGAAGCAACGCCTGCGCTAAACCAGTTCAATTCCAGCATGATGGTGGTCCTGCCCTCATCGCCTGCAGGGAAGACAGAAGTCACGCGGGGGTGGGGGGAGGGAGAAGGAAGGCGGTCCGGCGAAGGACGCCCTCTACTCCACCTTCTACGCCGGGTTTCATCTCCTGCCCGGCCGGTGGGGTCACCTGCGGGCTCTCCTGCGAGACTCGCCTTTCGATCCTTCTTCTAGAACTCGGGCTCACCAGCCGCTCCTTCCTCATTTACGCACCTGCAGGCTAGAGGAAGGAGGGCAGTGCCGGGCCAGGCTGGCAATGAGCACCCGCAATGGATAACGTTTGGCAGCCCCAAAGAGAGTTTCCCACACGAGCAACGCCCGGCGTCTTTCTTCAGCAGGAACGCTTCGAGTGCTTTGAAGGTCATTCGCATGGAGAGACGCTTTGCAGTCCGCCCAGCTGTCTTCTCAAAGGCCCGTTCTCCCCAATGCTCGCCTCCCGGGGGCCTGGGCGGAGGAATAGGGCGCTAGACTCGTCCCTTCCGCTCCCTCAGCAGCGCGGAGACCAGCGCGAGGGCAATCAAAGCTGGCGGGAGATTTCCTGAACTTCAGGAAACTTTCCTGTCAGCTGTCAACAACCCTCCGCCAAGAACAGCCGGGTTTCACAGCTCCGACTGTTGAATCTGATATTGATAGCGTTTAGGCGAGGAGAATACAATGGAATGAAAAGCCAACAGGATCTCCTCAAGATATCGGGCAAACTGGAAATGAATCCTATATGAATATAAACTTCAAAAGAGGTCGGAATCCCTTGTGAGAAAAGTATCATTAAACCTCCTGAAAGTTTATCCATTCTCATATAATATTGCTATCTTTAACCTTGCCAATAGAGTGCTCTGAAGAAATAGGACTCTGCTTCCAATAATAGCCATGCCTCAATATGTTATGTCAGTGCAGAATTAGATATTTGAAAGCCAACTTTCTCGTGGCAGATTTGAGGATTGAGTAAAGATGTACTTGGAAAGCCTTTTTTGTTCCAGAGCAATAGGTTGAGAAGATTCACGAAATACCTTGGATCCATATTTTGTGCCATAGGATACCAAAAATCAGGTATAACTTTAAAGTTATTTATTAAGACAATATTTCAGTTGGCTTTTTGCCTAAGGCAGGGTTAGATTCTCCCAGATTCTATTCCAGTATCTTAACCATTACACCAAAGTGCCCTTATCTATATATCTAAGTGGCCCTTGAAGATACATTTCATAAATATTTTATTAACAGGTTGAAAAGGAAATTGTAGAAACTGATGCTTTTTCATATAAATTGAACTTATCATCACTATCTTTAGTGTGGTACAGAGTTTAAATATTTATTTAAAGTTAACTTGATTGTCTCAAGTGTCATAAAAAGCAACAATTAACTAAAGTTAAATTCTTAATGAAAACAGTTAAATAATAATAATTTCTTACATATCCCATACATCTTCTGATCTACTGTATATGGATATTTAGTCTATTCTAGATATCAATTTAGCAAGTTTTATACTTCTAAAACCAAATTGTATATTGTACTGCAGTAGGTAACAATATCTAAGTTATCGGCCTTCAAACTCCAACAAATTGGCATACTGTACTCTGTATTTAAAATACCCATGTGAAAGTGTATACAGACTCCAGATCTATATGCGTGTTAAAATACAATAATAAAAAGTAAAATATTTTCAGCTTAAAACAATCAAGCTACTTCATTCTCAAAATGAAACAGATAATAAAATTGATCTCTTTAACAAAAGACAATTAATCCAGCATCATTTTGAGGACTCTGACTATGATTTGAGCAAGATGTTAAGATGGCTTCTCTCATTTCCCAGATTCTAAACACACTGGAGATTGTGGTCTCTTGTGGACAGGAGGAACTGGACAATCTCAAGTCCTCTACTTGTCCAGAAATGAATTACGAAGAGCTGGTCTACATGCCAGCTGTTCAGTCTATCACACATTGGCTCCACCACTTGGTTCACCATTTCTTCCCCGGAAATCCTCAATTGTTCTTTTTTAAAAAATAATATTTTATTAATTTTACATTTGAATATTTAAAAAGCAACGTGGTGACTGGGTTACAATAGTTCAATAACAAAATCTTAGTGCAAATCTCTCAAATATTTCTTCTCTTTTTGCCTTAGCATTTACTGTCTCATATTCAGTTTAGTACATTTCTAATTACTGTATATCAACTTAATAAGAACATCATTATTACATTTATCAATAAATTTTTAGCTTATACATATCTTAATTACATTCAATCTTCATAAACAATCCATATCCTGTTATTAGTTTTTACTCAGTTTTTAATTTCTTATCAATATTCCAATTTAACCTTTGATATTTAAAATTTTCAGATTTTGGGTAACCAAAATTTCCCTTATCTCACTTCATAACAAACTATAATATCCAAAATACATATTTTATCTATTTGAATATAATCTTGTTCTATTTCCTAAGAGTTATCTATTTCCCATCATATTAAATCATCTACTTAATATATATAATGGTTTTGATAAATCAAAACCATTATATATATTGCCTGGGTTAATTAATGAATCAAACATATGCATAATATTTAACTTTCTTTTCCCTTTTAAGTCTAATTTTTAAATATTAAGTCGATAAAATCCTTATTTTCAACTAGTTTCCAAATATTATAAATCTAATAACCAAAATTCCCCTTATCTCAACATCTCCCTTTAACCCTCTAACTGACAATATAAAATCCCCTCTAATGAGTCAAAATCCCAGTTTTTTCAACCTTATTCTACCTTTCTTCCTTTGCCAACTAGGCTTCCATATCAGCGTCTTTAAATCATCAAATAGATCTCCCTCTATTCTTACATATGTTATTTGAATTAAAGGAGACCATTTGATTGCCAGTTTTCTGGAAGGACTAGACCATTTGTATTTGTTAAATTGTCTCCCTATTATTCCAGTTCCCCATGTTTGCTCTAATATATTTGTCTTCAATTCAATCTGTTCCACTTCTTTCTCAAATTTCTTCTGATTTATATAGAAAGTCATTTCCATTTTCAATGTTGTCACTTCCTTTTCTGGATTTTCCATCAGGTGTATTTGTTGGTCAATTGAGTCCTCTGTCTTCATATTTGGTTGTCCCGCTTCTTCTGTTATCTTCTGCATTGTTGGTTCTTTAGTTATAATCAAAATTTGGCTTTGTGCATCTAAGCTGGCATCTTGATCTTTTATTTTAGGTCTTATTTTATCACAAGCTACAAGAATGCTTTCATGTATTGTTTTCAACATAAAAAGAATCTTTTCCTGGTCTTCATCCATATCTTTCACTTATTTGTAAATAGTCTTTCTAGTAAAAATTATTTGTTAAGCAAAAGTCAGTAAAGGTTTACATTCACAGTTCAAGTAGGCCAATTATGCTGCTTAGCTGTTCTCTTACAGCTAAATCTTCTCACTGATGGTTCCAAGGTCAGGGAGGTCTTATCTAAGGTCTGGGCTTTGAGCCAAGTCTCTTTTTAGGAAATAACAAATTGCAATACCAAGCTTCACCACAAGATGTCACTAATGCCATTTAGAGTTTTTTTTGAGTCCCAAATTTTTCTAACTCTTTTTCCAATTTTATTTCTTTTTTATAGATAAAAACAAAAGTCTCCAATAGAAATAGGACAATTGTTAGTCCCCAAGTTTCAGGAAAATATGAGTTGTTCTTTTTAATGCTTTGATTCCCTTGGGTAGTCAAATGCTATTATTCTTAGAGGGTAGGATAGAAATTCCCTTCCCTCTCTCCTCACAGGGAGAAGATACTTCAAACAGCTTTTACAGGAAAAGAAGGTACTTGGGGTAAAGAGAAGATCAGATCTCACCCCGTTTCATCCATGTTGCTTTCAGAATGCTTGATAGAAAATTTGACTTTGGCTGTCTGCAGCCTAATGACAAACCATATTGCTATGGCCGATCTCTTCTCTGCCAGTTTGGAGGGCTGCCCTGGATAGAGCGGGAGGGCTACCACCCTTCTGCAATTAAGCGGGGGTCCCCTCCTTGCTCGTCGCCCCTACAGGGCAACTTTTGACCCTTTCCAGGGTCTCCCAGTGAAGGAAAATTGGATGTGGAAGACGGAGTCGCCTTCCAAGCGTCCGCAGCATCCACGTCAGCAAACCGGAAGTCCTCAATTGTTCGTAATACTATCACTATCTATTAAGTTTCATGTTTATAGATTTTGAAAAAAAATCAATTAAGTATGCAGACTTAATAATCTATTTTTATTTTAAAAAACTGAAGAAAGTTTATGAAATTGCACTTAATTATTGATGGAAAACTACACTTGAATATTCTAATATCCATTAGGTCACTTTAAAAGAAGCAGTGTAAGTTGTTTTTAACATGACATTGGAATAACAGAAAGCATAAGTAAGTATTGGATAACTTTGAAAACATCTAAGAAGGATCTAATTCAACTGACAGAGTTTCATTTAAGAACTCTGAACATTTCCTCATGACTTATCACACCACTATTGTCACCTTTAGGGTTGAAACTTTCAGGACTATTAAAATGATTGATGACTTTCGGATAAGCATGCATATGTTATTTTTCATTATATTTGTAACATTTGGATTGTATTTAAAAATTAAGATTACATAACATTTAAACATGACAGAATAGAAATGTTGCAAGAAAGCTGTGGAAACTCAGTGAGTCACTGAGAGTGAGATGGGTGGTACCTAAATTTGACAAATAAATACATAAACAAACATATATTCATACTGTTGGCTGAAAGGCAACACAATTTTGAACAACTACATATGACAGCAACTATTCTGCCTTCCACATACATATTAAAATCTGAAATGCATATGCAAAGTACATGTTTTTCCTCATAATTTTGGTAGCTTATTAGTCAAACGTTATGCATAAACACAAGTATATGACAAAAATTATGCAGAAACATGAGTTGTAGCAAAACTATAAAACTGGATGAAAATACTAATCATCTTAAGTACAGAAAGTAGATAGCAAATTTGTTGAGATTCCAATAAGAAAATTATAAGCATATGTACTATGTAGAAAATTACAAACTTGAGAGCTGCACATGAAAAAAAAAGCATGGTAACCATTCTGTATAGGTTTTCTGCCAATTTTGTAAAGTATAGGGTTGAAAAGCTACTAAAGCAAGCATTTTGGTCAACAAGTAAAATTTCTTGGAACACTATAATCCATCCTCACTACTACATGTCTGTAACCACTTTTCTCTTAGCAAAATTCAGGATTGATACTAGGTCACATTTTAGAAAAAAGCCATTAAGAAGTTTGACTGCAGACAGACAAAGCTTTAAATAATTTCTATCCTTTTTTATTGCAAATACTGGATCCCCACCTCCTTTTTATGAGTGGCTGAAGCAGACCCGGGATGATGTTAACTCAGGGATGATGTGATGTCATATACCATACTAAAAGTATTCAGATCAGATACTGAAGGGCAATGAGAGATATGGGGTTTTTCACAGTAACACTCATTTTTAGAAATACCTCCCCAGGGAAGCCTAGAAAATACTTGACTCCTTCTGAAAACAAGCCATAATTTTCCTGCAGCATTAATAATCCTATAATAATCCTGTAAATGGATTATTTAGGTAAGGATTTAGACAGATTATATGGCGATTGGTCCAATGTAGCCCAGAAGACTGGCTGAGTTTGGATTGTTACACAAAATAGAAGGCACAGGGATCTCCGAGTAATTCACACTTACTTGGAGCTCTTGGAGTCCTAGTGGACAATCATCTAAATATAAGCCAGCAGTGTATGACAGCTGCCAAAAAAGGCAATGCAATCCTAAATCACATGAAGTACTAGTACTGCTTTACAAAGCCTTAGTAAGATTACACCTGGAATACTGCATTCAGTTTTGACCACCCCATTAAAAAAAGATATTGAGACTTTGGAAAAGTACAGAGAAGAGCAATAAAGATGATTAAGGGCCTGGAGGCTAAAACATATAAATATTGGTTGAAGGAATTAGGTAGGGCTAGCTAGTCTAATGAAAAGAAGGATCAGGGGTGACATGATAGCAGTGTTCCAAAACTTGAGGGATTGCCACAAAGAAGAGGAGGTCAGTCTATTTTCCAAAGTACCTAAAAGCAAGAAATAATGGATGGAAGCTAATCAACTAATTTAGAACTTAGGAGAAATTTCCTGACAATGGGAACAATCAGCCAGTGGAACTGCTTGCCTTCAGAAGTTGTGGATGCTCCATCATTAGATGTTTTTTATTATTATTATGGAAAAGTTTTATACAAGTTTTAAACAATATCCCCCCCCTAAAATAACCCCTCCCTCCCTCCCCCCCTCACTTCCCAGAGTTGGTTACAGGGTTACAAATAAACAAGCAAATTCTAAATAAACTTATCCAACTATACAAATAATAAAATCGATAATATACTTTAACTCAAATACAAAAAAGGAAAAAAAATTAACAATATAAGCATTTCCAAATTAAGAACCATAAATAATTCATAATCTGCATAATGCATTTTAAACCCATATCATAACCCATATTTACTCTACATATAATTTATCCATCTTCACCTCACTGAGGTGTATATTTCTTTTAAACAACCATTCGTCCATAATAAACACAAAATTTTCCCTCCAATATAACCTAACCAACA